AAAAATCAAGACAATCTAAACAAATGTAGATTTAAATTAGCATTAAAAGGGAACTTTAAAAAAAGATTTTATTTATTTGAGAGAGAGAGAGCAGAGGGAGAGGAAGAAGCAGGTTCCCTAATGAGCAGAGAGCCCGACATGGGACTCCATCCCAGGACCCTCATGACCTGAGCCAAAGGCAGACACTTAATCGACTGAGCCACCCAGGCATCCCAAAGGGAGCTTCTTTTGATAAAAGACTAGCATAAAACTCACAGGAAACACATTTAATAGAGCAACGTTAGACTCTGAGGTAGAAAAAATAGAAATGCCTGCTACCACAAACACTGTCAAAGACAGACTGGCAACCTGGTCAAAACAAAGAGAATGAGAGAAGTACAAGGATTGAAAAGGAAGAGGTAAGACTGTCATTATTTGCATTTACATAGAAAACCCAAGAGAATTGATATTAGAATAAACCTTCATCAAAACTACAAATACAAGATCAACACACCAAGTTCAATATATTTCTTTGTACTAGAAATAAGAGGACACCATTTGCAATGGCAACAAAATTTATAAAGTCCCTAGGAACTAGCCAACAAGAGACAAATTATCAACAAACACGCATACACATAATGTCCTGAATAAATGGAGAGTGAAATTTTGTTCACAAATGGGATGATTTGACCTTATGTCAATTCTCTCTAAATTAACCTATAAATTCAATGTAATTCTAAAAAAAGCTCAGTAGCTTTTTTAAAAAAGGGAATTTGATAAACTGATACTATCACTTAAACAGAATAAAGTAAAAATCCACAAATAGCTAAGGTAATTTTCACAAAGTAGGACAAAATAGATTCACCTTTCAGATATTAGGACATATTACAAAGTAATGTTAATTAGGACTGTTGTACTGGGAAAGGAACTGATACATGTATCAATAGAACAGAGAGCCTCAAAATCTCATTTATGGGAACTTGGTAGGTAATAAAATGGGGAAAATATGAATTATTAGGGAGATGGTTAGAAAAATGGACTACAATCCTACTCTGCATGCCCAACAGACATTCACACTCACAGGACCCAAATGGATATAACTTGGTACCAAGGTCGCTTAGCTTGGCAGAAGTATACACCACAGTAAACATACCATATAGAGGAAGGCATTCTCCTTAGGTAAGCCTCATGTGCCACAGGAACCACTATTTTGTAAAAATCCCTGACAGTAGGTTCCAGGTCTCTGCAATGAGGAACAAGCTCAGTTAGTACTACCTTACTCAGTGAAGTCTTAAAATCTGTACTTTTTCTTTGTACAATACAAAAATGTTGCTGAGTAAGCAGGGGACATTTCATATTTACTAACTCAATAGATTTCCAAGGAAATTATGCTAAGGAGAAGGTAAAACCAAGATCATTTTCCCATACATAAAGAGAAGGGGTTTTGTTAACCCTTTTCCTTTAATGACTAGCTGGAAAAAGTTGGATCCATACCACATACTGTATCCAAAAATAAATCCCAATTAAATTGAAGACCTAAATGTAAATGGTGAAACTATAAAACTGATAAAAGACCTAAAAAGCACAACTGGGAAAATTAAAGATTTCTATTCCATGAAGGACACCAAAGACAAGAATTAACAAACAAGACTAAATTATTTACATCTGAACCTGACAAGAGTATTATGTCTAAAATGTACAAAAAATTTTTTTACTACATAATCAGGAGGAAAGATAAAAACCTAATAGAAAAAAAAGGGCAAATTTTAAGTATTTTTCACAGAATGGAAAACCAGAATGACTAAAAGCATATGCCTAGCCTCATTAGTAATCAGACAATGCAGATTAAGACAAAACAGTTTCACCCATATCAGATTAACAAAAATCAGAAAATGTAGGTGCTGCTGAAGATGTAGATAAAATGAAACCTTCATGTCTTGCTGGTCCAAATGTAAAGTGGTACAAACATTCCTGAGAAAAACTCAGCATTACTTACCTGAAATTAAATATGCATATACCCCAAACCCAAGCCATTCTACTCCAGGACATATATCCCATAGAAACTACAGGGCAGGTTCATAGGAAGACACGTACAAGTTTGTAGAAGGTGGAACAGCTGGGAACAACTTAAGTATCTATGACTAGAGGAAAAGATCAGCTATGGTACGTGAATGGAATAGAATAATATGTACCAGTCAGGAGCATGTTTTATAAGGTAACATGCATAGGTCTTAAAACTTAATATTTTATGAAAGTTAGGAGCAAAATAAGATTTATACCACAGTATCATTTATATAGAAAACATGTAAAATATATAGTTTTTCAAGGAAATATATCCAAATTTGGAAAATGGCTTGGAAGGATAAACATTAAATACAGTAGGGAATAAGGAGTATGGATTTGCAGGCAGGAGAGGAATAAAAACTAGTAAGGTGAAATAAAACAGAACAAAAGTGTAGCCTTTCTAGACCAATGATATGGGTGTCATAAGAGTATGACCAATGACTAACTCAATTCTGAACACCTGAGATCCTTACAAACCAAAACACTTATCTTACATGAGCAGAAACACTGTTACTAATGTTTAAACATTATTTCTTTAAATGTGAAAAACTATTCATGGGGCATATGGTAAATATTCCACAGAATTTATGCATTTGCTGAGTTTAAAAGAAACAGTTCATTCTCCCAAATAAGATAAGCTAAATAAAAAACTGATATGAAAGAACATTTCAAGGTAATGCTGAAAAAACAAAATTTCTTGTGTTGAATAAATATTCCAATGTGTTTTTCTAAGTTAGGCCATTCTCTCGTATTCAGCAAAGTAATTTTAAATTACATTTTGGGCAAAGTTATAAGTACAAGCGAATTTTGATTTTTAATTAAGTATATGTAATTCTGAAATTCTAGATGGATATAAATCCTTCGTGACATTTCTACAGGATGTAAGGAGTTTCAATATACACAGAAAAATTTACAAAACATATATATCTGCTGTAACATCATACTTTTGATTTTGCTTTACATTTTTTTTAATAAAGATTTTATCTATTTGACAGAGATAGAGAGAGGGAGAGCACAAGCAGGTGGAGTGGCAGGCAGAGGGAGAGAAGCAGGCTCCCCGCTGAGCAAGGAGCCTGATAAGGGGCTCAATCCCAGGACCCTGGGATCATGACCTGAGCCGAAGGCAGACGCTTAACTGACTGAGCCACCCAGGCACCCCTCTGATTTTGCTTTACATTTTTTAAGAGCACTCTCTCATGAGGCAGATGTAGCAGCTATCCCCAATGTTGTCAATGAGGAAACTAAAAAATGTGAGTTAAATCTTATAGTAAGTTCATAGTGGTATTCAGACTAATATCTAGATTTCCCAAAACCTAGATTTGTGGTCTTGTTTTTATTTATAACCCTCTAGGTAATTTTTATGTAAATGTAAATCTGATATTTTTCTTTAAATCACAAGGAAATGGAACAAATTGGTTTGCAGTAGTTAATATACGCGATGAGAAAAAGACACTTTTTATATTAATTCCAATCCTGCAAAAAGAGTTAACAGTTTATCTTCAAAAAAATGTCAACCAAGTTTAATATATTTTTATTTGTCCAGTAAAAGTAACTTCACAACCTATTAAAAATGAAATTTTAACTGAAGAATAATTTGTTCTTTTTTCCATTAAAGCATAAGATAAAGGAAAGCTGTATCAAGTAAATGTGTAATTATGACATGACAGACTAAATCAAGTACCCAAATAAATGTTAAAACACGAAAATTTATAGTCCTCTTACCTCTTCCTTTCTAAACTGATAAAATACAATCAGAAAAAAAATTTACATAAAACCTGTTTTCTTATTGTAACTTGTGATTTATTGTTCTATTTAACTGAAAATGTTTTGGTTTCAGTTAGTAATTTCTGTAAAGTAGTACTTAAATGCGTTCCTAAAAATAACAATATTAGAGCTGTGAACATTATATTTAATCTCATCTAAAAAATTATACTAAAACTGTCATGATAAAAAAGGCTACAAAATTTCTTATTCTAAATTCCTTTTCCAGAATTCTAATAGAAAAGGAATTTTCAGACACAAATAGTTACTAGTCAGATAACGTATATTGCAATTTAGTATACTTAGCCGAAAAACAAACATCCTAAGAAAAGTTAAATTGTTTTTGTCATTCATTCTGTGCTATACTCTTCTCCTTATGCACCTTTAATAGTAGTCACAAATTCTATCCTGGAGACTCACCTTTTCTAACCAAATAGTGCTGACTCAACATTTCACCCCCACTTCACTTCTATCAATCAATTTGGATGTCTCAACATCAAGTTTAATAATCTGTTTATCGAGAATTGTTTCAAGGACAAAATTTCCATAAATTACTCTAACACAAAAAAAAGCAGAAATTCTAATTGTAGAACACAAATGTAAAATACAAGAAACTTTATCTCATCTTGAACACTAAATAATATCTGGGTGTTAAAAAAATAGGCCTAAGATAAATAAATTTTACTCTAATTTTTTTTTCTGTACAGGGTCAATATTTGTATTTAAGTTATATGTTACTTATGCTGTCATTTCAAAAGAGAGGTTCCCAAAAAGCCTTTAGTAAAATTCTATGCTGAGTATATATTTGGTTCTTACATGTTTTTGTGTGAACTGTTCTAGAATTACTTATTTGATGAACATAAAGTCTATAAGAAGAAAATAATCAAAATCTTTTATCTAATAATCCCAGGTTTTGAACAATATTTGTAAATGTATTCTTGTATACCTGTATTCCTAATATTATTTTGTAGTATGATCACAGCAAGTAGATGGATTTTCCAATTCTGTGGGGAAATATTCAGTGTACTGAAATTTAACTGCATTTAAAGTCATTATTAAACACAAAACAAGTCATACAGTATTATCATATCCTAAATGGCAATTCAGCATTTTATTTATAGTCTCAGTAGTAAAAACTAAACCTAAATGTGTATCCAACGTGACACATTTTCAGTGTTTAAAGAACAGTCTGAATATGGAATTTAAAAAGTAATTACACTAGGGAAAAGCAGAGAATCCATGAAAAGATTTAAATCATTACTGCTAGAACTGATTATATTGTTATGTGCAAACTCAAAAGGATTTCAGTCTTGGCTGGAGAAAAAAAAATGTAAATCTTTCATATATTCTGATTTATCCAGGTTGAAAACTAGTTATATTGTAAAGGGATAAAAAGTTCTATGATCCTCAGAAGAAATGGAAATAATCTGTAAGAAAGATAAATTTCAGCCTTTTTACTAGCAGGAAAAACTATAAGGGCTAAATATCACTCTAGAATAATCTCCTTCAGAATACTTCTAGTGACCCTTCCAAGATAAATTTTTAAAAATACAATAAAAGGTAACAGTATCAGTTGTTGGTAGGTTAAAAACATATTACTGTCTAAAGCAAACCCAAGACTGGATATAACACAGATCAGAAAATTTTTATTATTCAGTTTAAAGTTGTAAAAAAAAAAAAAAAGTAGCCTTTTGCCTGTTCTCATATTTATATGTTATCACTCAATTTCTGGGAGGATTCCAAATCAATTAAGCTCTAACTTTAAAAAGCATTAAAGACCCTTACTGTAGCAAACAGTGTATTCTATAGTTCATCAATCTTACTTTCAATAAAATATAGGATTTTAAATAAGATGAAAATGATAGCAGTCTCCATAATCTTAAAATCTAGGTGAAACAAACATCCTCATGGTCCAATAACTTGTAAAACGTAACCAGGTCACTAGACCAACACACTAGTGTACAACTTTAATAATTTCTAGCAGCAAAACACCTGGAATAGCCATTAACAAATGTGTTCATTGGATTGTAGATTAATTTCTTTGTAAGAAGTAATTTTTAAAAAGTATAGTTCAATTGCAGGCAAACATAAAAGATATCAAAGATCTTGTTTATCTCCACCTTTCCCAGTGGAATCAGGTGCAAGTGGAACCTTATTAGTTTCAACAAAAACAGATTCAAAGGCAGCTTCCTGTTCATCCAAAGAATCAGCAGCCGTGGCTCCTTTAGTTAGTGTTGTGTTGGTAAAAGATTGTTGCTGCTTGGAAATTTTGCTGGATTCCACTGCTTTTCTACCTCTTCTTTTACCAAGAATTTTGACATAATTAGCAGGTATAAGTCCTGTTGTTTGACCATCAAGACTAGCCAGAAGCCAACCACGCACTTTGGGTTGCTGTTCTGATGGAAGAAAAGACAGCCTTGTAAATATAACACACTTTGGAGTCCAACAAAATATTGATAATAAAATATTAAGCAAAATCTGTGTTATACTTACATACTAAAATACATAAACAAATAGTATATATATTCAAAATCAAATGATGAGTAGGCTTAACAGTTTTAGGGTCCTTTCTTATAATTTATACTTTTTATTTTATACTTACTAAATATATTTTCAACCTTGAAGAACATGAAGTTTTTATCAGTCGCTCTATTTATAGAGTAAGGAGATTCGGTTGTCCCAAAAGCTAAACATCAGTGTTTTTCATATTTTAAATCGAAAGTTAAATGAATTTCTCATTCTCAATAGAAGTTAGGAGCAAGCATAGAAAATATATACCTTTATACAAGCCAAATTTCTTTACTTTTGGCCAAAATATAAAATTCATTCTATGTGATTGTGACGAACAATCCTTTTTTTTTTGTATTTTTTTTAAGTAGGCTCCATGTTGGCATGGAGCCCAATGTGGGGCTTGAACTCTGAGAATAGAGAAAAAAAATAAAACACTTAAAATCAACTATGTCTGTGACTGATTTTTGTTCTAAATGCTCAAACATACTTTATGTGAGCAATGGAGAAAAGCAAACAAGCAAAGCTAAAGTGTTAAGAGGCATCAATAGTGGAAGAATAATTTGAGATATAAAATTTTCTTGAAATATTACAATGTAATTGAAAAGAAACCACACTTGATCTTTTTTATACTTTATTTAGATAAATTAAAACTAATTATCTGAAAGTGCTATTTTCACTAGAAGAAAAATATGAATATAATACTTAGAAGCCTAGATTTTGTGTATGAGGGATGAGGCAGAGATTTAGCAAATTTGATCTAAATTTTTCAGTTACTTATACAATAAACAAATAATGTGAACATTGAAGGTATTTTTTCCCTATATAAAGAATGACTAAAACTAAAGCAAGTTTCCATCAATAGATCACATGGAAAACAGCCAAAGTGGTTACGAGTATAGGTTCTAAAGTGGGACAAACCTAGGTTTATAGTCTAGCTCCATCATATCTTAGCTTTGTGATCCTGGACAATTTAGTCATTTTGAGTCTTAGTTTTCTCATAAGTAAAATAGGGACAGTATAATAAAAGTACCCACATCATACCATTATTATAAGGGTTAAAATGCAAGATGTAAACTATAGTGCCTTGTACTATAAAGGACAGTTGTTATTGTCACTAGCATCTTTACCAACGAAATGTTACTTTTCCTAGCAAACCTGAATCCCCACAAACACACAATCTTTTTTCCCCCCAAATCCATTAAAAATTCTGATCATTACTGGGGAAAGCTAAAGGGAAAAGGCCATTTTGCCTGGGGCCATTAAAAACTATTAGTGACCTGGTCCAAAAATAAACCTGAGATGTGTATAAATTTTTTTGATGAGGTTCTCATGACAGTAATTCCTCAAATATTCAGGTTGGAGTTTCTGAAGTAAACACTATTCAAATAAAAAAGAAAGCAATACCAGTCTGAGCAATCAAAGACTAAGAGAAATACTTACATGACACTGGATAATTTCTTTGGGTTGTCAGATTTATTACATATAGTGCTTACTTCATGTTTTTGTGTGGGGATTAACAGAGTTTGGAATTCAAGCTTTGAGTTTAGAAGAGATATAAACAAAATCTTTCCTCATCTCAGTGAAATATTATTAGAACAACCCTGGTGGGCATTTCTCTCCCACAGGCCCAGATTTGGAAGTTCTAAACTCACATGAAAGAGAAATCCTAGCAACTACTTCTGAGTTAACTAATAATGACCCAAGATCCTTTGTTGAAGTTTTTAATATTCCATTTACAAATTCAAAAAATTCACAGAAAATTCCAATTTATTCATGTTTATTACCTTTGAGAGCTAAGTTTAGCATATCACCAGCACGGAAGGAAATTTCTTCTTCAGATACAGCAGCAAAATCATATTCTGCTCTAGCAACTACATGGTCATCTTCACCACTTGCCCAGTTTGTATTGTCTATAAACCAAATTAAAAATTAAGATTAAGGGTTAGGGTTTACAGTTCACTGGCTATGGTTTATAAACTACATACGTTTATTAGCCAAGAGAAAAGTACCCTCCCAAAGTAAATTCTATAATTAACACAATATAAAATCTAACAATATGTTCATTAGGATATCTATTATGAACTTCTCTTTTTCTTCAAGCTCAAAATTACAATTACCCGTGTATTGTCTTACCCACTTCCCTGCCAGTAAGTTTTAGAAAAATAAGGGAATTATGTCCTGTGTATCTTTGTATCCTCTACAGCATCAAGTTTAGTACCTTGTAAACAGTAGTCCGGCAGTGTGTACTGTTATATTAAACAAACAATAAATAAATCAATAAGCCTATTTTTGCTACATATTCATTTTCCAGTTTTTAAGTTCTTAACTGAAAATATAACTGGATCAAAATATTAAATACAAATGAATATGAACAATGCTAATTTAACAAATCTATTCTTGAAATTTGAGATTGTTATATGGTTTTTTAACCCATTCTCTTACTCTTACCTGTTACTTCATCATTATGGGTAGACAGCAGTTTCCAGATGAGGTAAGGACCACCAAGGATAACAGCAAAGAACAAGAATATTGGCCAAGATTTTGCTGAGTTAGCTGCTCTGTCCTCAGCACCAAGGCAAGAAACAGTTCCTTCACTTTCTGCCCATAGGTCCTCATTCTCAGAGCCTCTTCTTAAACCTATCATCCACTGCAATCGTCTGTAAAGATACCTTATAGTCCTAACTAATGCAAAAGCTGAAAAAACCTTTGTGAAATGTATTTTTAACCGGGAAAAGTGATTTGCTACATCCAATACAGCCCTGAAACTGTTATAGACAGCTGAAAAGGTAGCATCCATCATCATACTGACGGAGGCAAATGCATGCACAATACTTTCAATGGACTGAAATGCACCTCTGCTGCTTTCTTCAGCTTGCTGAACAAATCTACTAGGTGGCAGATCATCTACACGGAGGCGGTTATAACCCAACCCATTATATCCATAACTATAAGGGCTATAGCTTCCATAAAATGAATTTCCATAGGCACCATATCCTGAAGAAAATGAACTGTAAGCAGGTCTGAAAGTATTCACACTGCTGCTTCCTGTCTGCTGTGATGGCCTTGGAAGAATAGGTGGGGGCACTCTGGTAAGTGTTGGTTGTCCAGGTCTTGTCAATAAAGTAGGACCCAAATCAGCAGATCTAAAACCAAATAAAGATTCAAAAAAGTAACTTAAGCACATAAATTCAATTCAAACTAACTATTAAACACCTCTTACATATCTAGTGTTAACAACAGATCTATTGACGATGTGGTAAGAATAAGGAAAAGTCTCTAATATCCACATGCTTAGAATCTCAGTCATAAAACAAAATGAACAAGTAAAATAGCTGACTAAACTCTATTTTCTTGTTTACTTATGCTGGCATTATTAGAAGTATCTTTAATCTATTTTCTCATAGGTACAACGATGTATCTATCCTTGCACCTAAATGGCACTATCTTAATCACTATAGTTTTATAATAGGTCTTAGTATCCAATAAAACAAGTCCTCCTACAATGTTCAACTTCAGGAGTGTTTTGGCTATTTGACACTTTGAATTTCCACATACATTTTAGTATCAGAGCTTGAAAGTTCCACACCCTCTCCCCCAAAAAATCCTATTGAGATTGTTTGGGATAACACTGAATCTGTAGGTTGAGATAAACCATATCTTTATAATAGTGAGAGTTTCAACTCAAATTTATTAGGTCTCTTAAAGATTTTTCTCAATAATGGTTTTTAAAAATAACTTTATTCAGTCTCTATAATGTTTTATAGTTTCCATGTGGCAGGTTTTCTCTAAGTTTATTCATATATACTTGATATTTTTTGATGTTATTGTAAATGGTGTCTTCTAGAATTTCAGTTTGATACTGTTACATAGAAATGATAGATCTTTAAAAAAATATAGTCCTTGTATCCAGCAATCTTGTTTTTGATTCTATTGGATTTTCAAAAATCTTAAGGATTTGCAGTCATATTGTATGTGAATAATCGTAGGTTTATTTAGTCTTTTTTCAATTCTTACAGCTCTGATTATTAAGCTATTATACTTCAGACATGCTGTAGAATCTTGAATAGAAGTGATAACAGGCATCCTTGTCTCATTCCTGAACTCAAAGGGAAAGTTCTCAACAAGACACCATTGATTATTATGTTTGCTGCAGGGTTGCTGTAAATTATGAGTTCCTTTTCCATTTCTATTTACTAAGAGTTTTTAGCATGAATGAACACTGAATTTTATTCTCAGCATCAAGATTAAGATTTTAATTATGACTTCAATTTCTTTAGTATCATGCCACTTAAAATAAGGTCTGTGGACCAGTGCTAATTATGAGTCATATGTACTGATCTAAAGTACAACAAATGAGACTGTTTAAGTAACATGACATTGCCATATTTTTACTGTATTTTATAAAAGTATTGGCTATTAGCACAAATATTTTGAGAAGGACTACTATAGGACTATTCTTTTTTTTTTTTTTTTTAAGATTTTATTTATTTCAGAGAGAGTGTGAGAACGATCATGGGGGGGGGGTGAGGGACTGAGGGAGAAACAGCCTCCCTGCTGACTAGGGAGCCTGATACGGGACTTGATCCAGGGACTCCAGGATCATGACCTGAGCTGAAGGCAGATGCTTAACTGACTCAGCCACCTAGGCGCCCCATCTTCTCTATTTGTAAATTACACCTTGCTTCATCCCCTAAATTTCTTCCATTCCTTTCTGTTTATTTTCTGTACTTTTGTCTCTTTGTGCAAAAATATGTTGGATATTTTCTTCCTATCCTTCAAGTCACTGCTATTCAAGGGCCAATCCATCACAAAATAAGTATCTTGTGCCATAATGTAAATCAATGAATTCTTAATGCTAATTAAACTAAATAGTGTGCTCAGTGTCAACATTGCTTTACATCCCGGATGAAGTTTCCTTATCTTGTGGACTGTTATTACACAGTTTGAAACACAGCCAGTCTGTACTCTCGGTAGTTACAGGACACACTTAGAACACTGCCCTAAATCACCAGTTCTCTCTGTAGCAATGTCTAATCTGTGGTTAAACCCAATGAGTTCTTAATTTTGGTTATTGTAGTTTTTGTTCTAGATATTCCTTTTCCTTTTAATACTTTCCAAATATCTGCCAAAATTCCTTTGTTTTCTTCCATTGCCTTCAACGTTTTAAACAATATTAACATAAAGTCTCTTTGGTAACCCCATTTTCTGGAGTCCCTATGAATCTGTTTTCTCATCTGTTGTTTTACTTAGTTTCCATTTATGTTTTCTAATGTCTTTCTGGGTCCTGCTATTTGGTTTTGCTTATGCATCAGACATACATGAAGAACTGTAGCAATAATTTGAGACCCTGGATGATGCTCTCTTCCTCCAGATGTATTTCATTCTGGATACTGGTTTCTTAACTATCCTCTAGTTTACTTCAGGCAGGCTGCTAAGGCTATTATCAATCCATGATATCCTTAATCTAATTTCAGGAACTGAGATGATTTGAAGCTGGGCTTATATTCCTGTTAAGGGCCTGTTTGCTTCTTTTATACCCTCATATCTAGGTGTATCTTTTCAGGGTCATAACACAAGTTGTAGGTAATTTATCAGCACCTCCAGACAACTAGACTCTAACCATCCTCCAAGAGTCTGTCAAAAGTGCTCTTCAACTGGCTTCTCATCATCCAAACTGCTTCTTTTAGAATCAGCAGCAGCTTCTATGGGAATCCACTCTCACTTTTGTGGATTTCCATCTTTCTCTAGATCCGGGCTTCACAAATCTTTACCTTCTTATCTGTTTGTATTTGCTTTCTTTCTCTCACTCTCTAGTCTTTTAAAAATTCTTGAACCGGGGCTCCTGGGTGGCTTAATCGGTTAAGTGTCTGCCTTCAGCTTAGGTCATGAACCCAGGGTCCTGGGATAAGATCCCATATCGTAGGGCTCCCTGCTCAGTGGGGAGCATGCTTCTCCCTCTCCCCCTGCCCCTCCCCACAATCATGCTTACACACATATGCTGTCTCTCTCTCTCAAATAAATAAAATCTTAAAAAAAAAATTCTTGAACCATTGAAAGTAACCTGTAGACTTGATACATTTTTTTAAAAGATTTTATTTATTTGTCAGAGAAAGAGAGATAGCATAAGCACAGGGAGGAGCAGGCAGAGGGAGTAGCAGGCTCCCCGCTGAGCAGGGAGGCCCACATGGGACTTGATCCCAGGACCTTGGGATCATGACCTGAGCTGAAGGCAGATGTTTAACCGACTATGCCACCCAGGCATCCCTAGACTTGATAAATTACTACTAAATACCTCAGTATCCTAAGAGCAAAGATATTTCATACAAAACCATATCATTTTCCCATCTCTAAAAATTAACAATTCCATCATTATCCAATTGATATTCAACAGATAACAATTACCATCAAATGTCTTTAAACAGCTTTTTTTTTTTTTTAAAGATTTTATTTATTTAAGAGAGAGAGAATGAGAGAGGGGAGGGTCAGAGGGAGAAGCAGACTCCCTGCCGAGCAGGGAACCCGATGCGGAACTCAATCCCGGGACTCCAGAATCATGACCTGAGCTGAAGGCAGTCGATTAACCAACTGAGCCACCCAGGTGCCCCTTAAACAGCTTTAATAAGATAAAATTCATATACCATGAACTCAGCTATTTAAAGAATAAAGAGCTATTTTAAGTATAAAAATCAATGGGTTTTTTTGTATATTCACATAGGTGTACAACTATTAACCTATGTAAATTCCAGAACATTTTCATCATCCCAGAAAGAAATCCCATATTCATTAGCAATCACTACCTATTTCCTGCTCTATTCCCAATCCTAGGCAACAACTAATCTAATTTCTATCTCTATGGGTTTGTCTATTCTGGATACCTCATGTATACTCAATTCTTGTTATTTGCAATAGTCATCCTATAAAGTTGCTGTGAACATTGAATTAGCAAATATGGAATCACTGCTCCTGAGGGAACAAGGCACTTCAGCACTATGCTTAGGGGCCATTTCAAAAACAGCAAAATCACCAAGAAAAATATGAAAAATGTGGCATCCATTAAACTGTGAAAAGGACACCTGTTTATAACATGAAGCTGAAACAAAAAGCCAGAGTGTTGGGATGCTAGGGTGGCTCAGTCGTTAAGCGTCTGCCTTCGGCTTGGGTCATGATCCCGGGATCCTGGGATCGAGTCCTACATCGGGCTCCCTGCTTGGGGGGTGCCCGTTTCTCCCTCTCCCTCTGCTGCTCCCCTTGCTTGTGCTTTCTCTCACTCTCTCTCCCATTCTCTATCAAATAAATAAATAAAATCTTTTTTAAAAATGTCTTTTAGGCTGTTGTGGTTTTATTGAACAAAAATTCAATTAAGGTTCACACATTGCATTTGGTTGTTTCCTCATCTCTTCTAAATTAGAATTATCTGTTTCTTTTAAATGTCCTTGACTTTTTGAAGAGTAGAGCCAGTTTTGTTTTATTTGCTTATTTACTTATTTATTTTTAAAGATTATTTATTTATTTATTTGACAGGGAGAGAGAGAACGCACAAGCAGGGAGAGCGGCAGGCAGAGGGAGAGGGAGAAGCAGGCTTCCCTCTGAGCAGGGAGCCCAATGCAGGGCTCAATCCCGGGACCCTGGGATCATGACCTGAGCCGAAGGCAGATGCTTCACCGACTGACCCACCCAGGCGCCTGAGCCAGTTTTGTTTTAGAATGTCTTACATTCTGGATCTGTGTTTCCCCAAAACCTTGTTTGTTTTTTTTAGAGAGAAAGCACATGGCGTGGAGAGAGAAAGAGGTAAAGAATCTCAAGCAGACTCCTGGCTGAGCACAGAGCCCAACACGGAGCTCAATCTCACAACCCTGAGGTTATGACCTGAGCCGAAATCAAGAGTTGGATGCCGGGGCACCTGGGTGGCTCAGTCGTTAAGCGTCTGCCTTTGGCTCAGGTCATGATCCCAGGGTCCTGGAATTGAGCCCCACCATTGGGCTCCCTGCTTCGCGGGAAGCCTGCTTCTCCCTCTCCTACTCCCCCTGCTTGTGTTCCCTCTCTCGCTGTCTCTCTGTCAAATAAATAAATAAAATCTTTAAAAAAAAAAAAAAAAGTGTTGGATGCCTAAGTGAGCCACCCAGGAGATTCCAAAATGTTGTTT